AAAAAAAAAAAAAAAAAAAAAAAAAAAAAGATATACTTAGTTTGGTACAATTTATAAATGCCTATTATATGTAGGGACATATACTCAGTAGAATCTTTTAATAATGTAACTTTGTAAGCAGCATTAGTTTAGATAAGCTTAGAGTTTTAGCCTAGTTAGCTAAAATCTTCTAAAACATAAGAACCAGTTAAGATTCAAACATTAGCGTCAAATTTCCCACAAATGAAAATATACTCTGTAGTGATTATGAACTATTTTCCCCTAGTACATCCTTTTGGTATTACAAATATAAGTAAAAATTATGTAGTGCTGAATATTTAAGTATCTGAAATAGAGAAATTAATAAATGTAAAATTTTGATGTTTTATTTTTTCCTTTTATGGATTTGATTCTAACAACCTTCAGAGTTCAAAAGCAACGAATAAATTCTGTCTTTTTCACCAAGTACTTGGGTTCAAGCATTATTTTTTAAAAAATGAGATGAAGCTTAGTACTAGCCATAGACATCCTGTTGCTCATTTTTGTTATTCCAGATGCTAGAGCTTGTATCATTACTGACTTAATCTGCTGAATTTTTGAAACTTTTGAGGCTTCTGGAGTTGTTGATCCTTAGACAATATTCAGATGCCTCCATTGTGAAAGTCACTGTCACATTTATCTCCTTATCACTCTCTGGTTGTTTTCTGTGATGGGTGACTAATTTTAATGGTAGTGTTTTTCCCTAAAACACAAGCAACAAGTCAGTCAACAGAAATTACATATTTGCAAACATCTCAACTTGAAATAATCACAACAAGCAGAGCAGTAACTAAATATTACTTTTCCCCAATGTCTTTTTATTATGCAAATCAGTAAAACATATTTGTAATATTACTTTTTTGCCAATAGGTGGCATTGACAATTTTAACTTTTAAAATGTGCCTCAGAATATGTTCTAATTGGACAGAAGTGATGCAAAGTGTCTTATATTGAACTTTTTATTTAGTCTGAGAAAGAGCTGTCACAAATTTATTTACTTCTGTCAGTTATAAATGTACTCGTATTTCATGGTTAGCTGAAAAGTCATGTGTCTTTTTTTTGTTGTTGTTCCTTTTTGAGACGGGCCGCACCACGCTCAGCCAGTGAGCGCACCAGCCATCCCCATATAGGATCCGAACCCGCCGGCGGGAGCGCCGCTGCGCTCCCAGCGCTGCACTCTCCCGAGTGCGCGACGGGCACGGCCCAGAGTCATGTGTCTTATCTTTATTTCTCTAAATCAGCTAAAAGAAGTGATTTCTAACCACTCAGATTTCACAAAAACTGGAATGCAGCGTCTTGTAACTCTTATTGTCATTTAATTCTTACGTAAGTCTCTCAAAGGAGCTTGGGTGTTTAAAAGCCTAAACCATGCCAGATTTAATTTGTTTCAGAATAACAATGTAAAAAGTGGAAATCAAAAAGAATAGTTTTGATCATTTCAAATGAAAAATATTGCCATAGCCCAATGCCTTTTCATTGCATTAAAATATAGAGTGTTTTTATCCATAGTGAATGTGGAAGAGCAATACATTTCCAGGTATCTTTGATCAGAACCTATCCTTATAGTGTGACACATTTACTTTCTGTTTTGATGAGCATCTAGCTAACTGCTCACATTCATTACTATTTGTGCTCACTTGGTAGATATTTACATGTTACTTTTCATAGTAGTATAATGCTAAAGAGTATTAATATTTATGTACTTTAAGATTTTGTTTCTTGTGTATATAATATTTGTCAAATTATATCTGGTGTGTTGATTTTTTTTCTTAAGGATGTCTTAATTCATTTTTATTTTGCAGTAAATTGAATGAGTATATACAGCTTTCATATTATCCAAGCCCTCTCTTAATGGCCTAATTTTATTATGGGGGTATCTGCATTAGGATCATATTCATTTACATTATGCTGAAGTGTAGAAAAATTTTTACCATGCTTGTTTTGGAAAAGCATTTACCTGCCCATGTAAAATGACTTAAGCTGTCTTTATTTTGAATGCAGCACAGGCACACTTTGAAACCATTTACTGTCTAATTGAGGTTTCTGGTATTTATTAAGAGTTAGAATATATTTCTAGTTTAACTTGGGAGTGTTATTTGAATAACTAGCTCTGGACTTAGAGACACTTAGCTCTCTGTCTACTTATGTGTAAAATAAAGGAGTTTTGAGCAGATGATCTCTAAAGTTCCTTCTCGTCCTAACATTTTACCTTCCTGTAAGGAATCCATTAGGTAATTCTGATTCTAAGCATGACTCAGGTCTCCATTCAAAATCAAATCTATTTCATATCATTGGGTTTGCCCACATAGTTCCTGCTATGTGCTGTGTGGATATGGATTGTATACTGAGTGCTTTAGGAGGATTCAGCTCTCTTCTCTGTATTTGTAGGGTTGCATGGCACACGTCAAGAAGAAATGATTGATCACAGACTAACAGACAGAGAATGGGCAGAAGAATGGAAACATCTTGACCATGTAAGTAATCAGTAATCATTTGGGTTAAAAAAATGTTTTGAAAGCAACTAGAGTAAACTTATGTGATAAAATAAAGGCTTGGTGATGTTCTGAAGGTATTGCATTTCCTACTGTCCTTGTTAAAAATAAGGAGTGAGAATGTTTGAAGTAGAGTGTAGGGTTCCATTTCTAAATTGATGTGAAAGCCACTTAAGAAAAATGTGTAGATCTTGGAAAGGAATTCTCGAAGTCATATCCATGGGCTACCGTTTTATTGTGAAAGGTTCTTTTAGTTTATAGGGTAATGGGGTTACAGTTTGGAAAAGTGGATTCACTGGCTGTAAAGTAAGAGATGTGACTCAGGTTCGTGCCCCCTACTTTTCTCATTCTCATTCAATTTACTCATCTATTGGATCTTAATTTCAAATTCAGCCACTGAAAATATTATACTGGAGAGACTTCAAGGATAAAATCACATCCTTTCTTTTCCTGAAATAGTTTGTTTCGTTCCCCATCAGCGTATTTAATTTGTGGTGATGTACATGTTCTTCCCTTTCCCCCTGTTTCTCACATAGCTGTTAAACTGCATAATGGACATGGTAGAAAAGACAAGGCGCTCTCTCACTGTTCTAAGGCGATGTCAGGAAGCGGACCGGGAGGAACTGAATTACTGGATTCGGCGGTACAGTGATGCCGAAGACTTAAAAAAGGGCGGCAGCAGTAGCAGCAGCCACTCCAGGCAGCAGAGTCCTGTCAACCCAGACCCAGTTGCATTAGGTATCTTTTCTTCCCATGTGCATCTTGAACAGATTTTTCTTGTGCTATTAATGCTGACTTTGCTTTTAACTTGCCTTTTCAAAATAAAGGATACATGGAGATTTTCGGACTATTAATAAACACTTTACATAACCTTCACTATGCCTTGTTTATCTGTTAGGAAAGTGAGCAGATTGGCATATAAGGAGATGATTACAAAACTTCAACTCTTTTTCCAGGTGAATGTATTGAACTTATGGCAGGGTTTCAAAGCTGAACCTGAATTTCATGTGCATCTCTGAAATGTATGCTCCCTTATAATACAGCTGCTTGAATACTGCCTCAAACCCATAGAAGCACAATCTCGGGGAGTGGGACAGGGCTTCTGCACTTCTTACAAGGTCTCAAGGAGCTTCTTCCACAGCACACCAATGTTTGACAGTACTGCATGCGGGGATGTGTGTTTTCTAGTTTTTAAGTCAAGACACAGTCTCAAAGACAACCTTGTTTTGAAGATGTATCTTATATTAAAAACAAACAGAAAAAAACACTTTGCCTCAAAACCCCTCCCGGAAGAAAG